CAGAGGGAACATGTCATCAGGATCCACAAATTCATTGCACAGAAACGGATGCAACAGCTATTTGCCTGTGTAAGTTATAAATATGTGTGCTGGTCATTTCACTGCTTTGGGATTTTGTATCTTTTTACTCTTGGTCGCTTTGAACTTGACTTTTTTTTTCTTTTCTTTGACTCTGACTGTAGGATGTTTCTTACAAACCATGAGCTGATTTGAACTCACACAGGGAAGGTGTTGTACCCACTTTGACAGCTGATTTAAAGGGGGGTATTATGTATTTTTCAGGCACATAGTGTCTGGAAAATACCTTCAGTTGTTGTAAAAATGCATTATATATAAAAGAAAAACGGACATCATGCGGACACTGGTGTCCTCATGGACCCATTGGATAACATGTAAGCATTTTGGGGGTGATGGTTATGGGGTTAAGAAGTTCCTAGTCTTTGCGACAACACCTTCAGCACATCACCAAAATGCTTCTCAATATGCAGTACTGTGTGTAGTGAATCAATAAAATATACAAGTTTAGTTAAATTACTGCAACACTCGCCTGCATTCTTTAAAGCAGCAGTATGAAACATTTTTTTAAAAGTGTTTTTTGCTTTTTTGTTAAAACTACCAATATGTAGTGACGGTATGGTATGAAATGGGCAATCTGGGGAAAAAAAAAAAAAAAAAAGCTTCTCCGTCTTCTCAATATGGTCCTACTGTCATCTGAAGAAATGCATCTCTTGGTCAGAAGCAACGAGTCAGGAGGATCTCAGGGCAGTTAATCACCACAAGCGCCACTTTTCTCTCCCCTATTCTACTGCTAGTTCACCCTATTCCACCACAACAGAGGCTAACATGAATGCTCAGGCTGGTAAGCATTGCAAACAATTACAGAAGATAATCGTTTTCCTGGAATGGTAAGTTGTTTCTCCGCTATTGGCACATTTAGCGGTGCATATACTCTCATGACTGACATTGCTAAGACCCTCCTCCTGGATCTGATTGGTTGTTTTTGACCGGGAGCTGTACATTGCTTCACACCGCAATAGGAGCTCAGAGTGGAAGTGGATTATGGATCATCTGTAGCGACATGGTGGCAGTTTTAAAAAACAAATATGTAGAAAAAACATTTTTGTAACGGTTACATACTGTAGCTTTAAACAACCAGTTTAGAATAAGTAAGCATTTTAGGGGGTGCTGTGGTGGCACAGGGGCAAAGCTCAACCCACATATTGAGGCCTCGTGGCAGTGGTCGCAGGTTCGATTCCCAGCCTGACATTTGCCGCATGTCTTCCCCCTCTCTCATTACCCTATTTCCTGTCAAACTACCTTCAAATAAAGGCCACTAAAGCCAACAAAACCTTTTAAAAAAAAGAATAAGGAAGCATTTTACATTGCTCAAACTTTGCTCGGCTATGAGGAGATTGATGTGACATCTCTGGTGTAGCTCAGCAGATGACCAGCTTTATTAGCCTTCCACTGAAACATCTTTAGGCTGCATTTAATGTCAAACGCTCCACACATCTACCTCCTGCTCTGGAAAGGAGACAGCTGGCTGCTGCCGCCGCTGCTGCTGCTGCTGCTGCTGGAGGGCATCACAATGAGCCATGTGGCCTGAGGGATTTGAGGTCTTCAAGAAACCACAAGGACATTTGCCTCATCTCTCATGGGCCTCTTTTGATGTTTTCATCGTGTGCTGTAGTGTAGCCATACATAGTTTTAACCTCGTGAAAACACAAGCGTCTGTGAAAGAAAACGGGTTCCTTTTCCGAGCTTCCCTCATCTAGTCCTTGTGCTGTGAAATGTGTGCATGATCTCCCTCGAACTGGTCTGACGTGTTGCATAATTGCCGTGCCCACGAGGTGACCTTGATGATCAGTGGAGCTGCATCTGCTATCTGTGTACCAAAGCCCACCTCTGGGGAGTCGTTCATCTAGATAAGAGAGCCATCAGTCAAGGAGGCAATTGATCGGCGCGTCAGAAGCTTTGATTTTCTTGTGTAATAATCGGCTCATATTTGACACCTTAATGTGTAAACAGGAAGGGAAGAGTGGGACAAATGAATTGTGAAGGACAGTTTTATGCTTTCTCTGCTGCATTTATGTTTGAATGTCTATCAAAACCAATCTGGCCGAGAATGAAAAAAGTAATTACCCCCGTTGTTAAACAATCATGGAATTTAAACACATTTGTCTGAAAGCTGAGTCATATCAGTAAAATCGATAAATCAGTAAATGGGGTCAGACTGACATGAACTAGGCTAAAAGATCACCAAAGCGACACCGATTCTGAAATAGATCAAAATATGGCCCTTAATTTCTATCAGTCTGAGTCATTTCTCAGGCTTTCAGAATCCATAAAAGTTAAGGTTAGTGATCCTAATTTAGCAAAAAAAAAAAAAAATGGAGACTGAACCAAAATCACATCTACGAGAGAGTTGCAAGGCCAAAACCACCGCAGGCCAGAAATTACTCAAAGGTCCATTTTACATTTACCTAAAAACATATTAACTGAGATTTGTGGAAATAAACTCTGTGAACTCATGAGACAGAAATGTAACTTCCTGGAAGGCTTGCATCTCATATCTGACATAAAACCAACAGCTAAATGGTGACTACTTTACTGCTTCAGCATCTTGATGACTTGCCACTGATCACTGGTGCTATGAAATTTGCTCATTATTAAATGCCGCAGGATAATATCCGACCATCAGTTTGACATCAAGTGAAGGACAGGGAGAGTATTATCCAAAGTACACCAACAAGCCCATCTTCAAATAAAAGAAAAAGCTAAGATTTCACAGTGGCTTAGTCAAAGTCAACAACTTAAATCTATTTGAGGTGTTGTGGGGTAAGTGATTAAAGGCAGCTCATGCTACAAAACCCTCCAATGTGACTGAATTAAAACAATCATACACAGAGAGCGCCAAAACTCCCACAGTGATGTAAAAGACTCATTAACAGTTTTTCATAAATGTTTGATGACACTTGTTGTTACCAACGGTGGGGCAAACAGGAACACAGCCATTTTTTTCCTCAAAAAAAAAAAAAAAAAAAAAGAAAAATTATCATTTCAAAACAGGTTTTCTTGTGTCTGTTAACCATGATATCTTTGGTAGAATATTAAAATTTGTTTGACCTGAAGCGTGACAAAAAAAAAAAAGCAAAGACAGTAGAAAGTTGTGACAATGCGTCTTCAAAGCGCTTTATGTCATCAATACAAGCCACGCTGCACTCGGAAGACGATAAATATGTCTGTATTGCTATTTTCCAGCGAATATAATAAGACGTACTCATTGGAGAGCCCCAAATGCCAGGCATTTATTCATGATGCATTGTGAGACAGTGCCGGATTAGTGCGTTTGGTCCCCCGTTGTGGTCAGTGTGCTACTAGGACAGTAAGAGGCAAGCTGACATGTGTTAGGCATTGATAATGACTGGTTGAATCACAGCATACCCACTGGAGTGCTGGGCAAAATAAAAGCGCACAACCATATCAGTCCCAAGCATGGCGGCAATCGCCCACAACAAAGAGCAGTGTCTTGCATGCTGAGCTAAGCTGATGGGTTTTATATTCAAATAATGAGGACGGGACAGGGAAAAAAAAAAAAAAACACCACCAGCATCGAGGGATTGCTTCCTCCATGAACATGGATATATGGTGGCTAGATTAATGGTTTATGTCTGATCTCATATTAGAAATGTTTCTAACTCAAAGAGGCGTTCAGCATTTCAAGCTGAATTATTTTTATCCGGCTCTTTGGCAACACAAAGTTTCTGTCAATACATTGTTGATTTTCAGTGGGCTCTCTGTATTTAATGAGGGGCGAGTGCATAACATCTTGCTTTGTTTACCAGTCCTTTTCTGTCTGCCTGGTCAATAGGTTCAATTTGATTCAGTCTGCGGGTGGGAAAATAAATTGGACTTGTAATGGAGGTCATGTTAGACAAGATTCAGTTTGCTTATATATTTTTTACATTCAAATAACTAATGCAGGTATACATTTTTACAGACTTGAGCATTCTGGGATGTAGAGCGTCAAGACAATGCTTTGCAAAAGTATTACCACTGTGGAAACTTTTTAGCATTTTGTCACGTTACAAAATCAAACTTCAGTGTATTTTATTGGGACTTATATATGTTAGACCAGTGGTTAGCAACCAAAAAGAAAAAGCTTTTATAAATGTGTACAATATGTATTATTTGGAAATTTCCCTCAAGCATGCAAACATACAGAAAGTGTAGCATGCAAATCAATAGATTGAAGAGACTGCAATTACAGCTGCCAGTCATTCAAAATATGATTCTCAGTTGGATTCATGTCTGAACTTTGACTGGACCATTATAATATCTGAATAGACCTCCCCCATTATCTGTGGCTGCATGTTTAGTGTGCACCCCTACGGAAGCTATGGTGGTTTCATGCTGCTGTGCAGCGTTAGATTCAACAAAACTAGCATTTTGCATTGAGTTTGAAAAGCACAATTGTTCATTTTTGGCCAGCACATGGCAAAGCATTAGAACAAACACTCTATATGCTGAGGCCAATCAGGACTTTCTCTGGATGCATTTCCTCATCCTCTGTGCTCATTTCCTTTCCGATTACTTTAAGTAAAGGCCATTAGTGCCACAAAATCTTTACAAAAGTTCAATTGCTCAATTTCGGTTTAAATTGAACATAGTTCAGTTTAATCTTCCACATTTTGCTTGTACCCTACATGACTTGTCGGAGACTGCACTTCTTTGGCTTTTTACGACTTTCTTTCAACTTCGACCTTCTTGTTGCCATTTCTATTAAGAGAATATCCAACTAATGGTAGTTGTGTCAACAAATGTATCCACCTAAACTCTATGTATCTGTAGCTCCTCCAGAGTTATTGACCCTCAATTGCTTCCCTACCACTTCAGGTGGTCGGCCATATTTTGTTAGGTTTGCAGTTGTGCCATATCCTTTCTCTTGTTTGCAAGTTGTAACTTTTTCTGAACTGACTCCTGTGTCTCTTGGTCTCCAGGAACTTCTGGGGTCTTCTCAGAACAGCTGGAAATGTTACAAATCAAGGTGAGTTGCAAAGGCACTTGGGTGTGCAGGATTTTAATTGGGGGTAAAAGGAAGATTAAAAGGGAATGGATACAGGTGCACATTATGCTTCAGAATATTGTTTGCTAAAACAATGAAAACCATGAATAAATGTCCTTGCACTGCAGTTATTCCCTCCTATGTGTTGATCTACCACTAAAATCAAGAAGAATGCATTAAAGTTTGTGACTATAATGTGACAAAAAGTGAAAACGTTCAAGTGGTGCACATACTTTTAATCCTAAAATAACGTATATTTCACCCTTTCTAGCATATGTGCCAGTATTTGTGGAAAGATTCACCGAATGGCCCCATGATTAAATGTTTCCTGACAACATTAAAAAGGCATGGTCACACAGGCTCACTGTGTGATTTGGGAATATTTATACCCTCATTATCACTTTGTAGATGTCATTGTGGTGCCTGGATAATTAGCTTTCCAGAACCCTAATTTAGGAGTCAGACTGTGCAACACCTGTAAATTTATATGCATTTGTGGAAATAGTTTTAGTATTTAGTACAGAGGTCCTAATTAAGATTTTATTTTTTTCTGATACCAAAACAAATCATTTAAAAATAGGTATTGGTTGAAGCAAGATTAAACTGAGTTGGGGTCATGTAAAACTTGCACAGTATGCGTCTCTTTTTATATAGACGGCTGCAAGAGACTATTCACATGAAATAAAAACATACTCATCAAAAATCAGCTGGAATGTGCAAATGGCAGCAGATGTGTATAAAAACTGTTAGTTTATTGGTTATAGTGTTCAATAGATGCTGGGAGGAAGGATATGTGATGATGCACCTTTGTGCACCTAGGATGCAGCAGTTGGTACTGAAGGCGTTCTCCGGTTATGCAACACAAAAGCCTGCAGGTGTTGCTTTAAAGTACTTTTCTACACATGCCTCCATTTAACTCAAATGTTGTGGATTATCCTGTCCATGCAAAGAAAAAACATTTTCATTTGGACCTTTTTGGTTTAAATCATAGCAATTGTACTGTTTGAAGGCTTCAGGTTTTAAAGAAAGTAAAAATCCCTCTAATCAATCTGGTATTTAGGAAATATGGATAATTTGAGTTGTAAAACAGGGAAGGGATGATCTGATCTAATATACACTTAGGGGAACATATATCTGTGTATAGAGAGAAAAAAGGATAATTTAAATGTAATTGTCAGAAAAAAATTCGATGGTAAATCTCTGAGCCCAAATAGACAGTAGTGTGTGTATTTCCACTTTTAAGGTGTGCAGTGATCCTAAACTTTAGACGGGAGGCTGGTTGGTTCGGGGGCAGCAGAATTTTAATAAAACAAAATCCAGACCCACTCAAACAGTCTGAAGCAAAAGAAACAGAAACCATGAGGGAAGAAACTGGTAGCAACAGAGGATAAAGCAATAAATGAAAGGATCCAAGGTTTATAAAGGTGGTTTTCACATGAACCTTGAAGACATAATAGTGTTTCAGACATAATAGGGCTGAATCACAGATCGGGGTGAATATAATTGAATCTCAAGCGGAGCTGAGTAGAGTTGCCAAAAGTTATACTGAAGTAACCATCATGTCAACAGTTTTACTCGAGTAGAAGTAAAGTACTCTTTAGTGTGTGTCTGTACTTGGTATATTTTTGGTTAAAACCAGTTTTTTCTTTGCTTAGTGAGGAAACTTAAGGTGGGTAAAGTAGCCAGGAATTGTAATCCAAGTAAGAGCAGTTATACTTCAAAGTACTATTCAAGTAGAAACAAAAAGCCTGGTGTAGTAGTTCTACTCATTGTAGTACTTTGTTGTCGTTTCAAAAGCTATTTAATAAAATATTCTCTATATGTTCTATGCAAGCTTAGCTTCATTGACTGTATTGGTATAAGTTGTTGTTTCTGTAAGGCACTTTAGTGTGAAAAGAAGCAATTGTGTACAAAATATAAATGAATTTTGTAACTGTCCATATTTTTTACAGTATTTTGTAAACATTTATTTTATTTTTTTTAAATATTGAGTAGTATCTGAAGTAGCTGGATGATCTGTGGGCATTCTGATATGCTTTACCTTCGTACCGACTGTCTAATAGCCTGGAAACTTGCTATAATTACCCTCCAATGACTTATGCACACCTGTTTAAATTGGTTATAAATGCCTGGCTCCACCTGGGACTCAGAGGAAGACTCAATCATGGAGAGCTGATAGGCTGTTTGTGAAATAGAGGCTCCAGCATTAATGTCTGCGCTCCAGTCCTCTCTTGCAGGTGTTTCTCAATACATTTGAGTATTTTAGATGTTCATTAATTTCAGAAATTCAACAAAAAGGTATTCATTAGAGATGGCAAGCATTTATTTCTCATAATTTTAATTAAACCACAAAATTTAGCTCTTCAGAAATGTTGAATATTACACAACTGATGTACAGTTGATAGGTTATTTTTGGTTGTTGTTTTTTACACAGTAATGTGGCATTATGGTTCACAAAATCATGGTGAAGACTGCTGAATTGATAGCATCTCGTGACGGTCACCCTCCATGAAGAGGGTCAGGCCCAAAAGGTCATTGCTAAAGAAGCTGGCTGCCCAGTGTGCTGTTACCAAACATATGAATGGAAAGCTGAGAGAAGGGAAAGGTTAAGAAGCGACACGGAAAAGCCTTGAAAGCATTGTGAAGCAAAGCCTACTTAAGTGCTTGGTTGAGATGCAGAAGGCTCAGAGTGAGGATGGAGTCAGCACTTCAAGAGTCGCCACAAACATCTATCCTGGTCAAATGTCACATTCCTTTTGTTAAGCCACAACTGAACTGTAAACAATGTCAGAAGATTTTTTTTTTACTGGGCTAAGAACAGGACTGGACTGTTGCTCCAGATTACTTTACTGTCCAAAGTAATATTTTCAGGTAAAAGCAAATTGTGTAATGATTTAGAAATCACATCTCCGCAATATATCAGGGTGATTGCCTATGCAACACCTTATTGACATAACATTTAATGCAAAAGAGCCCTCACCAAGCATTTACTAAACAGTTCATGGACATATTAAACATTTCTGTCTTAAAAATCTATTTTTTTAACATGTCATCCACATTTTCTGAAATACCGGATATAGCTTGTTCAATTTATCTGTATCTGTAAAATTTAATACATATAAACACTTAAAATGTGTGCATTAAATTTAAGTTTTTCAATTGGAAGTGAATCTGTAAAATTGACTATTTTTCTTTATAAATTTTCCATTTTGAAATTTAATTCACATTTTTAGATTTTCTTTTCAAAATGTTGTAAAACTATTATTTACACATTTAAAGCTCTCATTCCCACTTTCAGATTCAGATTAGTTTCATTAAAGTAAGGAGTTTATTTTTGTTAAGAAATAAGATGGTCATCTATTAAAACAATGTGAAAGATGAGTTTTTGGGGGAAGAAAATATGACATTTTTGTGAAAAATAAGTGGAAGCTAGGAATAACTGACTGCCTTTCTAAAAAATGCCTTTCGAAAAACTTTTATTGATATTAGCTGACTCATTGCTTAGTTTGGTATTTAAACAAGACCCAAAACAAGACCAGTTTTAAACCTAAAATTAATTCACATTAAATATTTTTTTGTTAGGTTCTTGTGGCCTGAAATTGCACAATTTAGACAGAAATGAGATGAAATAAGAGAAGGGAGGGGGGAGATGTAGAGCAAAAGGTCTCAGGGTCGGGAATCTAACCCTGGTCAGCTGCATCGAAGACTAATGGCCTCTGAATATGAGGCACCTGCTCTACTGCTGCAGCACATACCACCTCAAAATGCTCCTTTTTCAAATTTTCTATAATGTGTTTGCATAGGTTTCCATACAAAAAAAATCTACAATTTCAAACATTTCTGAGTTTCTGAAGTCTGCTTTTAAGCTCTAGCAGGGATGGACCCCCGTTTAACTGCAGTTTTATTTTTTTAAATAATAGGGAACTTTGTCATGGAAACCCCTTTCTTTGATGTTCTGAAACCTAGCTTTAGTCATATATTTTATAAACACAGCAAACGGTGTTATTCACAAAACTACCTTCAGAACAGGCTCCTTTCAACATCTAGATTATATCTTTTAAGGACAAGTCTGATAATCAATGGAATCACAAAAATAGCTCTGATTGTCATCTTTTGAAGAGTACATGTTGTTTCCTGGTACAGGCTCTCCTCCGTGACCTGCCTTTACTTTCTGTTTCAATTGTTCACTGTTATTTCCCTAGTTTAGCCCTGACAGGCTCGTTACAATGAATTGGAGGTTCCACAAAGGAGACTTTTTACGCCACATTAGGCAGGGGTCCCACACGCTTCTTTGGCACAGAAATACAATTTATTTGGACAGAGCGGCTCATGTTGGCAGATTGGCTGTTATAAGTTCCCTTGATTTTTTTTTTATTTTTTTATTTATTTTTTTTTAGTTTTTCCTGCAGCCAACTTCTCTGTTGAAGTTGAAGTAAGGATTTGGTGCTGGTAGAGGCATTCAAAGAATGGCCAGAATAATTTTTCATAAATTACCTCTGTCATTATTTCCCTGCAGGAGCGCTTTAGTGACAAAAAAGGAAAATAATTTTTCAGCATTGACACCACCAGCGGTGTTGTTTCATTATTTTTGTAAGAATGTGATTTGGTGTTCATGAAAGCAATTTTTTCCTTCTACGGGGAATATGCTGTGTTGTCTGTCAAACAGTGAAAAGCAGCTGATTAACCACAGTTGTATAAGTGGCCCAAACACCACTGGTGGGCCTCCGGGTCGTCACGTCAGTGAATCAATTTGTTGTGTGCCCCCATATGAAATGAGACCTAATGAGAAGTGCCTAAGTCTCAATCACAAGACAACAGGGAGACACAAGGACACATTTCCCCCCCTTTTTTTTTTTAAAGCCATAGTATTACCAATACATATGCATCTCAAAAAAGTGATTCATTTCAGTGACCAATGTGTAGTGCTGTGAAAAAATATTTGCCACCTTAATGGTTTCACTTCTTATTGTTGAACAATTTCA